TTTCAGGAGGAGGCCAACAATTCCAGATTCACTATTTCTCTCAAAACAGAGGTTTACTATAAAGTAAAGTTGTGTTCTGTCCATATAGGACAAAAAAAAAAAAAAACCCACACAGGTTCACTTCAACAGCTAGCCAATCCACCCATCTCATCCACTATTCATATTCTCCTTCCTCTCATTCCTTCTCTGTTCCATTTAGCTGCCCGATTTGAAGAGGGATACCTAGCAATTCAGTCTTTTAAAAACCTTAACATAGATGAACCCGTGGAGTAACTTTCAAATTTCAGGGAAATGCTCCCTTGAACTGCTGGTCAGTGTATTGCCCCCTTACCCTGGTGGTCAGCAAAATGTCCCCTTACATTAGTGGTCAGTGAAGAAGGGTCCCCTTAGAGTAATGGTTATTGGGTAGGGGACACCCTTACATCGGTTGTCAGTGGAAGAAGGGCCCTCTTACAGTAATAGTCAGTCAATGGAAAGAATGTTCCTTTGCTGTCTAAAGTATATCCCTTACGTTGGTGGTAAGTGGGAAGAACACTCCACTTACAGATAGCTAAAAGAGATCATCCATGTCAGCTTTTTGAGAAACCTGTTTGAGACGATAGGAGGAAGTCATTGTAACCTCGGAGCAGAACAATTTGGAGCTTACACTGTGTTTGTTCCATTTGCTCTGGTAGGTGATTAGGGTGGTGGGGGGGACAGAAGGGAAAGTATGTATAAGCAGTATGGTAAGGAGGGATACATTTATGTGAGCTTGTTTATTTTACCTACAGATGTGCTCAAAAATTTGCATATCCTTGGAGAACTGGTAATATACAGTATGTACTACTTTAAAGAAACCATGAGCAGGCAAAACACATTTTTTATTTCTTAACTTTATTCTGTTATTCAACTGTATTTCATAACAGAATGGCACCATCATAAAACAAAACATGGCAATAAGTAAACAAATTAAATTAGCCCTGTTCAAAAGTCTGCATTCCCTTAGTTCTTAATGCTGTGTATTGCCCCCTTTAACAAGCAGTCTTTTGTAATAGTTGTCTATCAGGCCTCTAATTCTTGCAAGTGGTATAACTGCCCATTTATCTTGGCAAAAAGCCTCCAGGTCATGCAAAGTCTTTGGTCGTCTTGAATGAACCACATGTTGGCATTCCCCCCAAAGTGGTTCTATGATATTAATGTCAGGAGACTGATGGCCACTCCAGAACCTTCAACTTTTTCTGCTGTGACCACTGGGAAAGTCAACTTGGGCTTGTGCTTAGGGTCACTGTCATGCTGGAAAGTCCAAGAGCGTCTCATGAGCAGCTTTCAGAAGAATGCAAATTGTCTGGAAATATTTACTGATAACATGCTACACTCATCTTGCCATCAATTTTAACAAGATTGCCCGTGCTCTTAGAGCTCACACCCCCAAAACATCAGTGAGCCACCACCACACAAACGGGATGGTATTCTTGTTGCTATAGACCTTGTTGACCCCTCTTCAAACATAGCGCTCATGGTTGTGGCCATAAAGTTCTATTTTGGTCTTATCACTCCAGAATACAGAGTGCCAGAAGCTGTAAGGCTTGTCAAGGTGTCAGGCATATTGTAACCGGACTTTTTTTGTGGCATTGGCGCAATAAAGGCTTCTTTCTGGCAGCTCAACCACGCAGCTCATTTTTGTTCAAGTATTGTTGTATTGTGCTCCTGCAGACAACCACACCGTCCTTTACCAAAGCAGCCTGTATTTCTCCTGAGGTTACCTGCGAGTTTTTCCTTTATAACAATTCTTCTGGCAGTTGCGGAACAATCTTTCTTGGTCTACTTGACCTTAGCTTGGTATTAAAAGATCTCTGAATTTTCCACTTCTTAATAAGTGACTGAACAGTACTGACTAGCATGTTCAAGTCTTTGGATAGCTTTTATTATTCTTTTCCATCTTTATGAAGTTCCATTACCTTGTTATGCAGGTCTTTTGACAGTTCTTTTCTGCTCCCCATGGCTCATTATTTAACCTGCTCAATGCATCTACGTGAGAGCTAACAAACTTCTTGACTATTTATACACAGACCCTAATTGCAAATTAAAAAGCCACAGATGTAGGAATTTAACTTTTTAACCTTTAAAAGGATAGGTTCACCTTTCGTAACACGTTACAATCAGACTGGTTCCCACTACCCCCCAGTTTGACAGCTAGTGGGGATCCTTCTTTAAAAAAGCGTGGCTGGGAGGGGCTATACCTGCTCCGGCTGCATCACTCATTCAGTCTTTTGTGAATGAGAGACTACAACTCCCAACAACCTTAGGGACTGTCAGCATGTAGCCCTCAATAAACTACCATCGTGCTGTGGAGTCCTGTGGCAGTTCATTGATTCTTCCTGTCCGTGTATCTGCTTGCTCGTACATCCCGTACGGGCAAGCAGATATACTGACAGATCTGCAGGAGACCTGCATGGCCCCAGTGATCTGCTGATCGCTGGTGAACTGCTTTACAGGCTCCTGCAGACAAAAATAATAAATGCACATTTTTTTACCTGCAAAAGAAAAAAAAAAAGTGAACTTATTTTTTACTTAAAAAGATAATCCTTTAATTGCCATTTTAACCTATGTGTGTCACCTTGTGTGTCTGTACCAAGGCCAAACATTCCAGGGTATGTAAACTTTTGATCATGGCCATGTGGGTGATTTCTGTTATCACTTACTTTTTGATAATAAAATGGCTTTCTATGATCACTATTCTTAAATAAAAAAACAGTTTTTTTTGACATAATCAGTAAAATTTTCAATCTCAATGCCAAAATTACGCAATTTCTGCCAGGGTATGCAAACTGGTGAGCAGAACTCTATACGGAAAAACACAGGTTCACCATCAAAGGTTTTTCTAATGCTGTTTAAAATTAATAAAACCCAAACTTACCAGCGAATACTATTAAAGTGATTATACATTTTTTTTTTTTTAAAGAAACATGTCATACTTACCTGTTCTGTGCAGTGGTTTTGCACAGAGCAGCCTTGATCCTCCTCTTCTTGGGTCCCCCGTTGGCGCTCCTGGCCCCTCCCTCCTGCCTAGTGCCCCCAGAGCAAGCAGCTTGCTCTTGGGGCACCCACGAAGGCTCACCCCTGAGCAGCTGCTCTGCATGTCCATTCACACACACAGAGACACAGCTCAGCCCCACCTCCTCTCTCTCACTGGATGTAATCAATAGCAGCGTGAGCCAATGGCTTCCGCTGCTGTAACAGCCAATGAGGGAGAGTCCTCGGAGAGGCAAGGCGCTCATGCACTTCGCTGGATTGAGATGGGGCGCAAGTAATTATTAGGGGGAGCTGAGGGAGACTGCTGCACACAAAAGGTTTTTATACCTTCATGCATAGAATGCATGAAGGTAACAAAATCTTGAGCCTTTACAACCACTTTAAAGTCTGTGGAGGGGGGCCTGAACTGACCAGTAGAAGAAGCGACCACAAGTGATCAAAAACCTATACAAAAGTTTATCCGAACAAAAATATAAGCTAAAACAAACAATCACCCTCGCAAACTGGGAAGGGACAAAACAGTTCAAAACTAGTTTGTACGCTGCATGGTCTTAAAAGTAGAATAAAATGTGAAAACACAGTGCAGAAAAAAACCCACATTCCCTGAACCCTCCTTATCCTTGTATCCCCAATTATTCCCAAAACAATAAAAATATAGACTTCTGTTAAGTGTTTTCTAGAAATTAGCTAGCGTCAGGGCAGTAAGCAAGCACTTGAATTGGCAGTACATACAAAGAGACAAGGAAGGATTTATTTTGCAATAAAAGTTATTATAGGAGACACAACAGCCACAAATATTGTTCAGTGGCTGGACGGTATATAAGCAACCTAGCTAGTCCAAAATATCATAGAAAGAGGGAGAGACTAAACTGTTTTTTTTTTTTAATGGTGCATTATCTGAAAGACCTTAGCCACAAATATTTTTGAATGCTGGAGCACAAGAACAGGCTGCAAACTTTGGGGCAAATGCATGATTTTCCCTGAAGGAAACATTAGAAATTTGGCAACTGAAGTCCAACATTAGAAGTGAGACACAAAGCAGAAATTACTAAAAAAATATAAATTTAGCTGCTGAGGTCCAGTTGCTGAAACGTTGTGTTGAACCTTTACAGTGCTGGAACACTGGAATAAGATGGAAATTTTGAGGTGCAACGTGGGATTTACCCTGCAGAAAAGATTAGAAATTTGCAGCTAGCTAGCTGGGTAAACATTGTGTGGCACCTTTACGGTGCAGGAGCACCAGAACAGGCAGCAAACTTCATAGTGCAACACAGGATTTACACTGCATCAAACGGAAATTTTGGCAGCGGAGGTTGTGTGGCATCTTTACACTGCAAGAGCACCGTAATAGACCTTAAGGTGGCAAGAGCTGGTAATGGTGGTGGGGAGAAACAGTACACAGGAATATGTAAGCCCACTACACTGCAATCCACAGCAATATAGTGCAATATAGCAATGCATATCAACTAACACTCTTCTACACCGACTGTCAACTCTTCATAAAACTACTCCAATACAAATTGACAAATGGCTGCTGAAAACGCACTCTTTAATAGTAAGGGGATTGGCACATAAAGCCCATACATTCACCATTGAAACCAAGTTTACCACAGTTTAAAGATTAGGTAGTGCATTATGGTTGAATTAAAAAACAATAATAATAATTAAAAAAAAATACACACACACACACACACACACACACACTGTATATATGCAGTCTTTAAAATTTCCACATTAATTAGCTCAGACCACAAATGTCAAACCATGGTAGCAGTGAACCCGAACCTCATCCCTAATGTTCTATGTCTATGTCAGTGTGTACTAGCAGACAATGAACATAACACAACAGTTATTTGCTCTGTCAAACAACGGAATTCTCTGCACACTCCTGTAAACAGAAGTCATTGTCATTTCACATGCATATTGCATCTCCTTTCCATCAGTTTATTTCTTGTTGAACAAATAAGGCAATGTGCAAATTGATTTACCTTCCAACATCTTCTGGAGACTGTTTCTCATCACATGGATGTTCTCAATGCCAATGAATTGAAACTTGATGTCGGAGTAGTTGTCCTCATTCTCATAGCCCTTGCCAGCTGCTCTGTTTGCCATGGCATTCAGCTATAAAGAGATATCAAGGGGTTATTGTAGACCAGTGACAAGGGGCAGTGTAATAAAACTGTACTTAGCTCATCCCATTGCACTCACAGAACAAAATGGCTAATCTAGCTAATCTTCTGGTATAAATTTCTGTCAATCATGTGTTGTCATTTTAGTTTTATTCAGAGACAGATGGAACTTCAAATAAACATACTTTTTTTTAGCCCACTCTAGATGCCCATCAAGAGAAAGACGTGATTGTTGAAGCTCCCTGGATAATAAATCAAGATTAGGCTCAGATACCGAATTATACAAATTCCCAATGATTCATTCTTTTCCGTTTCTACATTTCACAACATGTTGTATTTATTAATGTTTTCTCACAGGTTAAAGTTCCCCACTGCAGTAATAGCTCCAGCATTTCATGGAAAAATCAGCACAAATGGAACTTGAGAAAACCCACTGCTGAAAAAAAAAAAGAAAAAAAAAAAAAAAAGGACAATGGCGCTGGTGATTATGATTACAGGCAATACGGCCTCTCCCTTTCTGGAAGTTGACCAGCTGTGCTCCAGTCCATCCTCAGCTTTTGCCAAAATTCGCCACTTTGGTTCTCTAATTCCCAGCTAACAAGATCCAATCCTCCTATTTACTGTTTGGCAGCCTGAAAATATGTCGCAAATCACTGGCTAAATTCAACCGGAAAACCAGTAAGTGAAGATACTGCAAACCACATTCACTTTGCAGCTTCTTTACAAATTCAATCATTATCCAGCTCAGCAAATTGCCTATTTTTTTTTTATAGGACTGCACAAACCAGAGAAAACACCAGGTGGCAGCACATTCTATGGAACAAAGCATGGTAGTCATTAAAGGGAAGAAATCTTTTATACCGTATGTGCTGCTCTCAGCCGCTAGATGGAGGCACGGTGTTCTTTTAATTCTTACTTTATTGATATTATAAATCCGTAACGTTGCTAACTTTTCTCTTCCTCATTTTCACATTAAAAATATTTGGACCTTCTTTAAACCAGGAGGGCCATAATCCACCGATTGTTTCAGTCTGCCTTGCAAGGAACAGCATGAAGCTATGTACAAACATTTTCCATACACATAATTCTATACAATAAAAGGTAGCCATACAAATCTCAATTTTTTCGCATTCAACCCATGGACTGAACAAGAGAAAATAAATTGAAATCCCCCATTCATACCATTGCCCACTATAGTATTCAGATAGCCAAGGCACCTGTGGCTGCCTGAATACAACCGTGCTGTTGAACAGTGACTGTATCTGATAGGACTGTTTGGTTGACAATTTTCCATCTGGCTCAGTTAATTTATAAAAATTGCCTTCTGTTATCCTGGGTGGTGCAGGGATTCCCATAGTTTGATTTGGGTCTAATATAAAGTGAAATTTGTAAAGATTAAAAGAAAAATATTTTCATCAATAAAAAAAAAATAAATAAAACCGGGGAATTTCTATCAAAATCTGCATAAACTAATCTCCCTAGTTTGCAACCTACAGGTGATTGCTGACAGATTGGTTGCTCCAGGTTATGTAAATGAACTGCACATTTAAAAAAATAAAAAAATAAATAAACAAACCCACACATTCATGTGTAATAAATAAAGAAACAGCAAAAAATCCAAATCTGCTGGACACACTAACCTGGCCATACCCCATTCCCTGTCTCTGCTAGACCAGCTGAATTTTGACTACTGTATGGGCACCCTCACTCGACAGAAGCTGATTGTTTATTTGGCTTCTGTCAAAGGGACAAGGTGCTAAATTTTTCATCGATCTGTGTGACCCTGAATTCCTCTCACTTTGGCGTTTTGGCTATACATACACTTTAAGCATACTACGATCTGATCTATTCCAATAGCAAGAAAATAGAACTTTAGGGCAGTGGTGGGCAACTGTGGCCCTCCAACTGTTGGTGAACAACAAGTCCCATCATGCCTCTGCCTTTGGGAGTCATGCTTGTAACTGTCAGCTTTGCAATGCCTCATGGGACTTGTAGTTCTACAACAGCTAGAGCACCACAGTTGCTCACCCCTGCTTTAGGGGATACGATATACTTTAAAATTAATAAATTAATTATAACATACATAAAAAAACCCAGAAAATAAAAAAAATGTATTTAATAGAGCAATATACTAAATATTAGGTAAAGATGCACTGAGCATACATTAAATATGGAGGAGGAGCTAGAGAGTCATATAGGGACACACCATTTTGGATTCTTAAAGGACCAGTATACACAAATCAAACTATTTGCATAAACTAGTTTGTTGAAAAAAAAAAAAAAGAAAAGTAACATTTATGAATGTGTGGGAAATGATCAAAAAAGCATTTAAAACCCCCATGATTTTCAAATGCATGGGCTGCCCTAAAAATAAGTGGACATATCAGCTGCACTCTACTCTTAGCTCCTCTTACCATATTTATTAGTAGTCACTGAGATGACTGCATACAACAGTGTCTTTCTTGATGCGTCCACTGTCTTCCCACCCTTGGAGCCAACCAGGAATGGAGAAATGCGTCAAGGAAGGTTGGCTGTCGGGTGGAGACATTGTTGCATGAAGTCACTCACTATTAATAAATAAGGTCAGAGGAGCCAAGAGTGGAGTGCGGCTGATACATCCTTTCATATTTTTCATGGAGAGTGGAGATGGACTATAGTGGCCGGCACCCATGTATAAGAGAGGCGAGTTTTAAGCAGAGCTATGGATCTGAATAGACTGCCCTTAATGAAACTAATGTTAACATGCAGCGTGATGCATGTGCTAACACACTGCAACCGTGTCAATAGGCCCTTTAGTGAGAGTAACATTTTCTAACACACAGATGACCTAAAGGTTCTTTACCTTCATGCAACCTTCTGTGTGCAGCAGCCCCCCCCCCCCCCCCCCCCCCCCCCAACACTTACCTGAGCCCCCATCTTGACCCAGCGATGTGCATGAGAGCAGCGACTCTCTGGGGTCTCTGCCTCCTGTCAATAACAGCCAGTGAGCCAATGAGGAGAGATTGAGTGGACAAACAGAGCAGCAACTCAGAGCAAGCACACACAAGTGCCCCCATAGCAAGCTGCTTGCTCTGGGGCACTCGGCAGGAGCCAGAGGGGGACCGGAGAAGAGGTGGATCAGGGTTACTTTCTGCAAAACCACTGCACAGAGTAGGCAAGTATGACATGTTTGTTATTTATAAAAAAAAAGCCTTTAAAGTAACTTTAATGGATAATGACCTCAATAAAAGCAAACTACCTTCTGTCATTTCATGGTCTCATTTTTGTTCCAGTGGCAAGGAGCTGTGCAACACCGTTAGATATTTCAGTTTCTGCATTGTTGCTCCATTGTAAATGGGCTGCAATTTATTCAGTGTTAGTGTCCTCACTCTTGCATTGAGCCTATACATTTGTGTGAGTTTTCATCAGGCAGGTTAACTGGCTTCTTGCCACACTCCCCCTGTTTGTACTGCTGCTGTCATATTTTACATGGTAAGCTCACTTGGAAGGGGTCAGGACATGATAGAAACAGTTCTGTTAAAACCTACAGGATGTGTTAGTACTATATAAAAACGAGCACAAATGAAGTAGTAACCCTCTTCCAAGGGGCCCAGAAATCTCATTTTGACATATCTATCATAAGCCTATGGATTTTATACAGCAAAAGTAATTAAGGCTTACTTTTGTACAGACTATAGACTACTTGATGTCATTTATTTGGACCTATTTTACCCAGTGGTGAACAACTGCATTATTACCAGCACCACTAGAGTAGGAATGAACTTTAAAGAAAATACCCCTTGCCTGCTTCTGTTTTGTAGACATTTAGATAGGCCATTCCAATGAACTTGCTGCAAATGTTTTATTTGAATGCTAAGTGCGGAGTTATGCCTTAATTATAACAAAATTATCACTGTAGTAAACTGAACCCATGGCATTTATTCAGATGTAAATTATCCCGTAAAGACATCTTAACAAAGATAAAACTCAATTAGAACAAATCAAGAGAATCCTAAAGGTGCCATATTCCATGCAGCAATCTGTCTGAGGGGATCTAAAATGTTGAGTAGGCTTCTAGAAGATGCAAGAAGCAAATTACAACAGCAGGAGTTTGCAATGGCATTTTTGGCAGACATAAAAAATCATGATAGACTTGAAATGAACAAAGGCATTGAATTGTAAAACTGTTAATATAGCAATATAATATACTACGTGTTATACTGTATTGGTTTTACCTTGGACCTTGCATTCACTATATCTGGTCCCCCACAGTACACAGAACATGGAAATTATTTTAGTAAATATAAACTGCTAAATACCTTTTCTCATCAGCACCAGTAGTCTTGTGACTTCTATCAGTGTCCAGCAGAGCACTGGTTAACATTTGTAGGAGGAGTTTTCATTCCCCCCGATTGTCCTATGAGACTGCATAACCCCTGACCCTCTGTCTGGACAGTGCCGACTGGCCCTGTGCTGATCACCAAAAAAAAAAAAAAAAAAAAACCTCTAGCAATACACACCAAACTGAGCATGTACAGTTGCCCCCAAGGCTCTGTTCTGTCAGCAGATGGATTGGGGACAGTAGAAGGGGAGGATCAGAGAAGACAGGATCAAGCATTCTTTTTACACAATACTTAGCATTAACCACTTAGGCTCCACAGTGAGTATAATAAGCATGCTTTACTGCATGACACAGATTGGGGGGCATAGTCACAGATGGGGTGCTGTTTTTGTGTGAGTGCTGCTTTTGATGGAGTGCTAATAAGCAGATGAACACAGCAGTCTAATTATAGCTTTCCTCTTTTCACTAGTAAATTGCTGCTATGTGCTCTCTCCACTCTGGTCTGAGAAACATCCCCCCCAATTCATGTGATCCTTATCAGTTCCTAATTGGGGTGGAGAAGAGTGCTCATTTGACCATCTCCCTATTAATTCTGTTCGGCTCATGGGGGGTGGTCACAGAACGGGGGGCATAGTCACAGAAGGGGTGCTGTTTTGTGTGTGAGTGCTGCTTTTGATGGAGTGCTAAGAAGCAGTTGAACACAGCAGTTGAAGTAAAGCATGATAACTCAAGCAGCAGGAAGATACAACAACAAGAAACTCTACTGCGCGCTGGATGGACTGCAAGCAAACACCCTGGGAAACAACTCCTACAAGTCTGAGTCCCACTCTGTGTACTTCTGTAATATGTCCCCTCTACTCCTCATTTTCATATTACTATCCTGTGTTCCCAAAATCTCATTTCTTTACCCCTCTGCTCCACCCCAAAACTTATTCATCTCACCCTCACTGCTACCATCTCCCTACTACTGCTCTCATCACCTCCTGCTGATACTTCCCTCTCCTGCTGACCCAAACACCAGGCCTGGAAGGCATATACACTCGTGTACATCCCGCTCCCATGTTACTTTCCTCACCCTTCTTGTCCTAACCTCTGGGGATATCTCCCCAAACCCTGGTCCTCCAGTATCTCACCCCCACACCAGGCATCCTCTTTCTTCCGGGAATAGCCGCAATCCCCTCAATTTAATATCAGTCCCCGTGCTCCCAAAAACCACCCTCCCTTTTTCATGTGTGCTCTGGAATGCCCGCTCTGTCTGTAATAAGCTCACCTCTGTCCATGACCTTTTTGTCATCCGCTCCCTTAACCTACTAGCAATTACAGAAACCTGGCTTCAAGCAGCAGATTCTTCTTCTCCCGAAAATAGCACTTTCCTATGGAGACCTTCTCTGAAGCCACTCACCCAGACCCAGTGGTCAGAAAGGTGGTGGAGTTGGTTTGCTTCTATCCCTACTGAGCACCTTTCAAGTCCTCCCTAACCCTCCCTCTCTATCCTTCTCTTCTTTCGACTCACTGCATCTGGCTGTTTTCTCCCATTTCTCTGAAGATTGCAGTGATCTCTCGGCCTCCTGGACCCGTGTCCTGCTTTCTTGATGATTTCTCCACCTGGCTACCCTACTTTCTCTCCCTCTGAACTACCCACTATCATTCTCAGAGATTTTAACATCCCTATTAATGTCAACAACCCGGCTACATCCCAACTCTTCAGCTTAACCTCATCTTTTGCATTAGCACACAGTGTATACAGTCCTCCACTCACTCTGATGGGAATACATTAGACCTTGTTTTCTCTCATCTTTGCACTCCCTACAACCTCACAAACACCCCCTTTCCTCTCCCTGATCACAATCTCATCACCTTCACAGTCTCCTCATCTTCAAACACTTATCCCTCCAAGCAGCAAAAAATTACCTGCAAAAACCTTCACAACTTGAACCCTGCTCCTTTCCACTCTGCAACTGACCAACTCTATGACAGAATCTCTCCCCTGTCCTGCCCTGACCACTACTGTCAACAGTTCGCTTTCATCTACATTAGACTCACTTGCTCCTCTAACAACAAGCATCAGGCCCCGACCATTACAACCTTGGCAGACTGACCACACCAGAAATCTTAAACATAGTCGTGCACTGGGCCGATTGTGGCATAAAACCGAATCTCAACAAGCATTCACCCTATATAAATCTGCTTTCTTAACATACAATTCCTCCCTTCATGCTGCCAAACAAGCCTACTTTGTCTCTCTTATTAATGCCTTGTCATCCAGTCCTCATTGTCTCTTCTCTACTTTTAACTCTCTACTTTCTCCACCTCCACCCAGTACCTCACTCACTGCTCACGAGATTGCAAATCATTTCAAAAACAAGATTGACGCAATTCGTAGGGGCATTGCCACTGCACAGACATCCATCCCACTTAGCATACCTTATACTAAACCTCCCTCAACACTTTCCTCTTTTGACCTTGCTACTACCGAAGAGGTCACAAAGATTTTCTCAGAAGCCCGTCTCACTACCTGCCCCCTGGATCCTGTCCCCTCACAACTACTACGGTCACCCTCTTCTTCCATCCTATGCTCCCTCACATCTTCACGCTTTCCCTCTCCACTGGTACCTTCCCCTCTCTAAAGCACGCGCACATCACTCCCATACTTAAAAAGCCCTCCCTGGACCCCACCAACCTGAATGTAAGACCCATCTCCTTGCTGCCATTTACCTCTAAACTCCTAGAACACTTAGTCTACAATCGCCTGAGCTCCCACCTCACCGACAACAACCTTCTTGACCACTCCACTGAAACTGCCCTACTAAAACTCACTAATGATCTACTAACTGCTAAAACCAATGGCCACTACTCCATACTCTTACTACTTGACCTCTCTGCGGCTTTTGATACGGTTGACCATCCCCTTCTGCTCAAAAAACTCCACTCTCTTGCCCTCAGAGACTCTGCTCTCTCCTGGTTCTCCTCCTACCTATCGCAGCGCTCCTTCAGCGTTACCTATAATGCTGCCTCCTCCTCTTCACTCCCTCTTTCTGTAGGGGTCCCTCAAGGTTCTGTCCTTGGACCCCTTCTCTTCTCTATCTACACCTCCTCCCTTGGTCATTTGATAAACTCCCATGACTTTAAGTACCACCTCTATGCTGATGACACACAAATCTATCTTTCCACCCCTCACCTCACCCTTTCAGTCTCCTCTCGCATTATTAACCTACTTAGTGACATATCGGCATGGATGTCACTCCACTTCCTCAAACTCAATCTTTCCAAAACTGAGCTCTTAGTATTCTCCCCAGCCCATGCCCCCTCCCCTGACTTCGCCATCAAGATCAATAACACAATCATCAGTCCCTCCCCTCATGCCAGGGTGCTAGGTGTAATCCTAGACTCCCATCTGTCCTCTCAGTCCCAAATCCATTCACTGTCCAAATCTTGTAGACTTCACCTCCGCAACATCTCCAAGATACGCCAGTTCCTAACCTTGGAAACCACTAAACAACTTATTCACTCCCTTGTTATATCTCGCCTTGACTATTGTAACTCCCTCCTCATTGGCCTACCTAATCGCAGGCTATCCCTTCATCAGTCTATCAGGAATGCTGCTGCTAGACTCATCCACCTTACTAACCGTTCTGTATCTGCCACCCCTCTCTGCCAATCCCTCCACTGGCTTCCCGTTGCCCAACGGATAAAATTCAAAACATTAACAATAACGTATAAAGCCATTTATAACTCTGCCCCAAATTACATCACCGATCTCGTCTGTAAATATCACCCAAACCGTACTCTCCGCTCCTCACAAGACCTCCTACTCTCTAGCTCCTTTATCTCCTCCTCCCATGCTTGTCTCCAGGACCTCTCCAGAGCTTCTTCCATCCTCTGGAACTCTCCACCCAAATTTATCAGACTATCGCCCACTCTGCTCACTTTTAGGCGATCTCTGAAAACCTCTCTCTTCAGTGAAGCCTATCCTGCCCTCAGCTAATAATGGAATCTTCTACTCTTTCAACCAGTCCATCCCCCACAGTTACTACCTTTTGTACCACTAGCCCCTCCCTCCTAGATTGTAAGCTCCAAGGAGCAGGGCCCTCCTATCCCTCTTGTTTTGAACTGTATGAGTTGCTGTATTGTCTCCCGTTATATTGTAAAGCGCTGAGCAAACTGTTGGCGCTATATAAATCCTGTATAATAATAATAATAATAATAATAATAATAATAATACACAGACTGATTTTACCATTGCGTTTTCAGTAACACTTTAAACCATCATCTTTTTACTGAATTTGTCTTTTTTTTTCCATTGCCGACAGTTTCATCAACTAAATGAAGCTTATTAGAAATTATTCAGGCCACTGTAATGAATACAAATTCCAGCTGACTTACTTTTGGTCGTGTATCAACGACATAGAGGAAATCACTGCCAGGATTTGCTTTCTTTATCGCCTGCAACATCTGTTCATCTTCAAGACAGCGAGCACTGAAGCCAGACAGGGGCTGACTACTACGACATATAGAGGCCTGCAGGGAAAGAAAAATCACATGCAGAACAGCAATGTCACCAAAGTAAAGCCTCAGTACCTCACTTAATCTGCCTCTATACTCTGGCACTGGTTTGTGGCCATGGGAATTAAGATAAACATATGGGAAGGAGATGGGCCACTGACAACACAAGCAATGGAAGACAGATCCATTGCTTGTGTTGTCCAGCAATGGAAGCCAGATCGTTCATTTATCTTACAAAAATTACATTTGGATTATACAGTAAAGTTTGCATAATATTTCATGCAGAACACTTATTTACAGGACATTCCCATGTATATTACTCAGGTTCTTCACACTCAGAACCTTCACGATTCAGCTGTTCTAACAGCAGTACTGAGCAGTTTTCAGGCCACCTCCTCTAGTAGATGTTCATTGTTCTTTAGTGCAGCAGAGCCTCTTACTTCTCAATGGGTCTTTGAGGCCAGGATCTGTATACATGACGCAGCACTCGTCATAAAACGGGTTTGTGAAACCAAGTGGTGCTCCATTCAAAAAGGGAAGTTCCGCTTTAAGGCATCCTCTCCGCTCCTGGTAAAGAAATGGTACTCTTGGGAAATGGGCAGGGGTTATCGGGTACCTGATTTGGACAGGTACCTACTCCCTCTTCCACTCCAACCACCTAGGCGATCAGAAGCGGAAGTCCTCTTCCCCGCCGTCTTCTGGGAAATGTGAGAGGTGCCAAAAGACTGCAGGACCATTCATAATATGCATGCGCATGGGGCACCCGGCTGTGAAGCCACAAACTGCCGCAGCCAGGTGCCCACAGTTAACATGCCATCACCTGGAGACAGACAAGGGGAGATTAAAACGGCTGGGGTGAGGACACTGCTGGATCATGAGACAAATGAGTGGCTGTTTATTAAAAGTCAGCAGCTACAGTTTTTGTAGCTGATGACTTTTATACTTTTTACACAGGAGACTGAAGCTCCTCTTTAAAGAAAGTTGAGCACCTTATAGAGGACATTTCCCTGCAGATCAGTAATGGTGGTGCACATTAACAGGTTTTCATAATTTCTTTAATGTACTTCTGTTAATGATCATTCATTATGTTCAATAGAAGGCTCTCAAGAGAGAAAAATGTGACCTGTCATTGCTGACCGGTTTCTGAAGGTGCATGTCCTGGGGAGGTCATATTTATCCTTGCTTTATTACTAAGTTAGTCATGGACCTTGAAGGATTATGTGGATATTAGGTGTCTCAGCACCAAATAAGTGACCTACTACATAGCAAAGAATAACTATGAATGATGACCCTGAAGTTTGCACCTTCAAAAAGCAATGGCAGTTGCCATACTTCTGACAAGTTCTGTTTAAAGTCTAAAGTCACCCAAACCTCAAAACTTCACCCAAAACTAAAACTACAATTATGTGTGGTCACTAATTTAGAATCGCCTGCCTCACAAACTACTCAACTCCAGAGGCAAAATATTCCCACAGGAGGATCCACTCATCCACAAAGCAGATGTGGATGCTATTATTTGTGGACACTACATTCTGGAAAAGTGATCTGGAAGTGGACACTGCTACCCTGGTTAAGGCTACAGAACTTGGGCAGAACTAGGAATTAACTTACCACTGGAGTACTTAAGAATCTAACAGGCTAGCACTGAGAATCAATTTGCAAGGAAACACAAAACAAAAAAAAAGTACTGTGCAAAGATGGGCTATAGGAATACTATTCCTATAAATGGGCAGTGTAAAGTCTGAAACTAAAATTAATATGGTCTTCAAAAAAAAAAAAAAAAAAAAAAAAGCTTCAACTTGATAGTAGATTCCCTATAAAAGCATGTATAACCTCAGAGATTGCTATCTTCCGATTAGGAAAAGAATGCCATTATTTCGACGAAAATACATTTGCTAGAAAAGATAAAGTGATGCATTAAATATTTAGGAGGTGGAAGTGCCCTTACAAAGTAGGCCACGAGGACAGAGGGAACAAACCTTATAATCCTAAATTACAAAAACACTTACATCATTATCTTGATAATAATAGGACAGAACAGGAAAACGACCACGGCTACGAAACTTGGAGCTTCCAACGATGATTGGCACACTAGCAGATTTTGGTACATAGAGTTCAGTAGGATATGTGTCACAAACCTAAAAAAAACATTATGTTGCATCAAACTATACAAACCAGTTTGGTTACTGTAAAGTATACGGTTTATAAGTTTTTTTTTTTAACTTTTAAAAATTTAGAGTACAGTACAAGGGAGACAGGCAAATTGACATTCATGTATTTGAACCATTCATACAACTCTCCCTCCCACCTATTACCATATATTCTCCCTGAGACAGTGTGATAGAGCAAATTTAAAACTTCAACATCAAATATATCATGCTAAGACATGTTAAGAAGTAGCAGCTGGTTGCTGCAACCATGGACCTAAGATTTTACTATATTCTGGGTAACACTCTTACCAACCAACTGGTCAGTGCAGCTTTGCCTCTGCATAGATTGCTATATGATGGTTAGCCCACAGAGCACCCACCACACACAAAGACACACACACACACACACACACACACACACACACAGGTCACACCCTAAGGCTCTAAGGCTTAGCCTGTCACACTCAGCTCTGCGGGCACAGACAGCTCTCCTCCCTTCCTCCCACTGTTACACCCTCTCTTACCGGTCAAAGAAGTGTCCTCCTCCTCACGCTCTGTCAGTCTCTCTCTCTTCTCACCCGATTGGACATGGAGCCCACTTGCACAATCCACTCTGCGGCCCTCCCCATCCGTCCATGAGCCTTTCATAGGGCCCCCTACAGGCCCTAGGCAGTGTCTGGGTGCCTGAGTGCCCAAATGGTTAGTCCGCCCTTGTGCAGGCACCCTGTTCCATGTCCATCGGCTGCAGCTGTCCAATCAATATCTGCAAATGGCCAGCGCATGCCTGTTCACCCCCACGTTATTTCCAATTGCCCAATGTGAGCAGGTGAGTGGAAATTTTTAGGTTTGTCATCTGTATGCTTTGCAACAATAAGGTTGCAAAGGTCTTGAAAGAGCTCTTTGCTCTTACCCCATACCCATCATAAAATGTTTCTTGTGTGACATCTTGGTAGACACCTTTTTTATAGGTCATCAGTTGAGACTGAACCAGCTGATAATTTGCACTGACAAGGGGCAGGATTGCATTCTAATTACTGATAGGTGGCTTGCCTTTCCATGCCGTTTTGCACCTTCCTTTCTTCATGTGTTCAATACTTTTTCCCTGTGTCATTCCATTTTATTACACATAATTTCTGAACGTAATTGTTTTGGTTTATTTGTATGTATGGATTGCATGGGTTGTTACCAACATGTGGTGAAAATTTCATGTCAATAGCACTTATAGAATTATATTTACATAGAAAAATGGTGACGTGTTCAAAACTTATTTTACCTGCTGTATTAACACAAAGAAATCTAAAACGTCTAATATTAGTGTGGGTACTAAAGCTAAAGTCTGTTTAATAAGGGTGTGCAATGGTGTGCAAGACATTACCTGGTCCTCATGAGAATTTCTTTGCAAGGTTTTTAATATCTGCACTGACTGCAATGACTCACATCTCTAGGTCTTTGCCATCCTTGGCTATAAACACTATCAGTGCCTAACACACATAGATTTGGGAAGTCTTCCCTTATCATATGCTTCAAGAAACATTTCTAGTAAATAAGGGGTTAAAAATCTATACTGGCCTTCTACCATACAAGCAGCAGGCCATCTAAGCCAGGGCTTTTGTGTGCAGGAAGGGACAGGATTGTGGTTTTCACGTCTTCCCTTGGAATCCATCATGATCACGCCGATGAGCCATGGACAGACTAGGAAAAGCAGTTTGATCAAAAAAAGTGCTCTACAGTGGGAGATATGCAGAGCAGAGAATACATCGGCAAAAAATTTGCAAAAGCTTTTATTTTTATTTATTTAGGGGTGTGAAACTTTTTGTCCAGTGCAAATCTTTAACCTCATATAAAAACACAAACAGGGCCGCTCCTCTTGCCGAATATGCAAGTGTTTTACCATTCTCACCTACCCTCTCAAATAGAGATGGACTGATCGAGCAGCCCTGGTGATAATTTACTAGTGGTGCACTGAAATGAAAATTCTTGTGTCGAAACAGATACCGATAATACAGAATGCATGTGGCCGAAAACCGAACTGAAATGTCTGCGTATGTGGGGGTGGGGAGGCTCCAATTTTTTTTTTCTACTTTCAGGGGTTTTTTTTTTTTGTACTTTTTAAACTTATGATTTTACTGCCATCACATAGGAGACCAATAGTACCCTATGTGATAGCATATGAGTGACAGGTCCTCTTTGTAGGGGGGAGGGAGTGGGGGTCAGGGTATGCAAGGAGGGGGCAGGAGAGGAGCAGTGTATACAAAGAGGCTCCCTCACTGGCTGTCACTATATGTCGGTGCCAATTTTTAAATACAATTGCCAGCTTTTTTTTTTCTTCACTATAGCTCACAGAATTAGCTGTCACTTTCTCCAGAGCTAAAGGAAACTTTGTTTCTTTTATCGTGGGAAAGAAACTAAAAAGGAAATGTTTCTTTTAACTCGAAGAAAGAAACTAAAAGGAAGCGGTTTCCTTTAGCCTGGGGGAAAGTGACAGCTAATTCTATGAGCTACAAAATAATTGGAATATGTCTCCTGCGCCACTAGGAATGCTGATATCACTAAGCTGCCAGCACTAGAAGTGCCATAACCTTAGCACTAACCGTAATAACCAAAAGATCTATATAAGAGAACAGTGCGGCGGTACAAACAATAAAAATACCAAGATGGCGCCCGCGCCGGATATGACGTCAAGCCGTCACTCGCTGAAGCGCGGGCGCCATCTTGGTGCTCCTTGTTCCTTGTATACAGTACACCCTTTGAGTGGTGCGAAGGCCTGTTTTTACTCAAGCAAAGTGTGAGTAGGATTTTGTTTCTTTTAACCATCTTCTTAATAAATGGTTTTACACTATATAAGCTTTTCTTGCCTTACTGGTGACCATTCTGAAGGGGCATATATCTATACCACCTACGATCAAGGATAGAGACAAGAAGGGGGTCCCACCATCATTCCTCGAGAGATCCATCCAGCTCCAGGAGAGATATTTACTATATACCAAGGCTCATTGGTCCTTAGGGGCCTGGGCAGGAAGGTGAGGGGGCACTGCACTTATTGAGGATTGGCACCTAGAGTTCACATCTGCATGAAATTTCTAAATGCACATGGACACCATCCACTAAACTGTGTTGAAATCACTACAGTACATGAGACCTCTGGTTGAGTGTATTTATAGTCTGCACTCCCCATATATGTCTTTAGTGTTTGGGCCATAATTCGTATTACTTGATTGTTTTTTATTTACCTTTGTTTATATTTATTGTTTGTAGCGCCGCACTGTTCTCTTATACAGATCTTTTGGTAATTCTATGAGCTATAGTGAAAAAAAAATAAATAAAAGCTGGTAATTACATTTAAAAACCGGCACTGACCTATAGTGACAGCCAGTCACTGTATACATTGCTCCTCTCCTGCCTTTCTGCAGTACACACAGTCTCCTGTAATCGGCACCTGTATCAGCTAAATTTTTCCTATCCACAAATGCTGATAGGGCTACTTTCGGCCAATATGTTTCGGTGGCTGAAATTTCGGTGCATCCCTATAATTAAAATTTTTTTTTTATCCTTCCTCACTTTCTTTGTCACAGGTAGTGAGATTAACCATTTGCCGCCCGGCCAATGGCCGTTTGGCGGCTTGAAAGTTGCTTCTCCACTCCGGGTGCACGCCATTTGGCGTGCTCCCGCACATGCGCCATTTGCGCTAATGCAGAGCGGCGCAGCGGCTCGATCTGTCACCGGGCGTGTACCTCGGACACGGCCGATGACAGATCCGAGTACCGGCTCCCGTTGCAGGTACCATGTGACCTGCTGTGACCAATCACAGCAGGTCACATGACAGTTGTATACAATGGATGGCTTCATTCATGATGCCATCCATTGTATACTAGTGCCTAGCTGTGAATGGTCACAGCTAGTCACATGCACATGTCATGTGATTAGCTGTGACCAAATCACAGCTAAGCACAAAAAAAAAAAAAGCTGAATGAATCCATTTCATTCAGGTAAATGCTTGCTTATAGCAAAGTATTTCTTTGCTATAAGCAAATTGTGTAAAAAAAAAAAAAAAAAATACTGATCACTTCCCCAAAGTAGTACAATGTTACTATGGTAACATTGTACTACTTTGGTCATAGTAAAATATGAAATAAAAATGTTAAAAAAAAAATAAAAAAAAAGTAATAAAAAATTAAAAACAAAAAAAATTAAAAAAAAATATATATATATTTTTTTTTTTCATACCGTCACCAGTCAGTGTCCCTGTTCACCCGCCATGCCAGTTATATGATGACGCTGTACTGCACTGGTGACAGTATGTAAAAAAAAAAAAATAGTGAAAATAATTTTTTTAATTTTTTCATTTTCCGAAAAATGACAAAAAAATACAACTTCAAAAAACTCGCCATGCCTTTTATGAAGTACGTCGGACTGTCTACTCTGCAAAAAGGGGTCATTTGGGGGATATCTGTACTATTCTGACATTCTTAGACCTCAAGAAATTAGATTGGCCGTCAGTACTTCAGGATTGATCAATAATCAGATCTATACCATAGTTTGTGAACTCTATAACTTTCCTACAAACTAAATAATACATCCTAATTTGGGTTATTTTCACCAAAGACATGTAGCAGAATACATCTCGGCCTAAATTTATGAAGAACAATTATTTATTTGTAAATTTTTATAACGGAAACAAAGAAAAACGTGTATTTTTTTTTCAACATTTTTGGCCTTTTTTTGTTAATTTAGCAAAAAATAAAAACCCCAGCGGTGATTAAATACCACCAAAAGAAAGCTCTAGTTATGTGAAGAAAATGATAAAATTTTAGTTTGGGTACAGTGTTGTATGACTGCGCAATTGTCAAAGTGTGAGAGCGCTGAAACGTGAAAAATGGCCTGGGCAGGAAGGTGTAAAATTGCATGGTATTGAAATGGTTAAATCATTCACATGTGCTTTGCTCTTTGCCTCCTCACTGCTTGCTTTAACCCCCTGAATCGCCTGTCAAAGTGGCCCCCTTCATTTGGAGTGGGTTGCGTGTGGTGGGTACCCCCCTCCCCCCAAAAAAGTTCCTGCCAGAGCCACAAAAGCGAAACAAAGTCTGCAGCATGTGTACACCCCTGGCTGCTGCTTCTTCAGCTATAGGGGGTAGCGATTGGGAAGGGGAGGCGCTCAACCACAGGGTTTTTTTTATGCTATGTTTAAACAAGCCCTTATGGAGAAACAGACAGCAATGCCTCTTACCGGGCTATCCAAAACAAAACGTTTTGGCACTTATCGGAGGAAGACTCTGGAAAACCAGCTTCCGTAAAGAAGGAATTAGTGAGTTAGCCGATCTATTGTTTGCTGCTTGCCCCATGATCTTCCTGATGCGGTCAGACTTTTTAAACTAACATACACAGTTGTCATCTAAATCTAACCATAAAATGTTACACTTAAAAATCTAGTTATCCTCAATTACTGCAGAATTTCTAAATCTAGAGAGTTGCAAAGAAAATGTTGCACTATTTCTTTCCCACCCAAAATGATAGAGTGGTAATGAGTGAGCATGCTCATAATGTGCTTCCTGCAAACAGACCAAAGAATGTCCAGAACAGATTAACACGACAGCTACTAAAGAACACATACTGTATATGGACAACTTTATCTCTTCCAGAAGGAGCTGTAACAGATGTATTCTGGTAATGGTCACCCCAACAGTATTCTGGTAATGGTCACCCCAACATTACACTTACTCGATAGTCCCGATTAACATCACTGAGCTGCCACAGGCTCTTGGGGACCCCCATTCTACTGTACTCTCCACTCAAGTCAATCAGCCTCCAGCCTTCCTCTCGCTCTGCCTTGTCCAGCTTGGGGTTGAAAGAGAAGCAATACAGCTCTTCATATTTAACTGTAAACAAAGCAAAGCTTGCTCAGTATTGAACTGTACAAAACATAGGACTCTTTCATCATAAAATTAAACTCACAGCTGCGGCAAGAATCCAACTTTTTCCTGTGGTTAGGATTCTGGTAGATGTGGATAGCTGTGGCTGCTCAGCCTGTGCAAAGCAATAACAGGCTGGCATTGACTGCAGATGTCTGTGGATGTTTGGATTTAATCCCACATGGAGCGGTTACCTGCTGGAAAAAGAAGCGCACAGGGGGAGCAGACACCTAGCACATTATCCAAGATTTATTTACAAGTGTAAAAAAGCGATAACATATTCACAAACATGAAAGCATAAAAAGCCACGGAAATGATCCAACATGGTAGCAGAGTTCCCAACTGGTATTGAAGTAGGTTTACTGACGCGTTTCGGGATCGCGTACCCTTCCTCAGAGCTTTAGCTTCCAGGTTTGTGAGTATGTTATCGCTTTTTTACACTTTTAAATAAACCTTGGATAGGTGTTTGCGCCCCCTGTGTGCTTCTTTTTCCAGTTTGCAGTTTGATCCCCCAGTCAGAGGAGGGCTGCACCACCAAGACCTTGTTCCAAGGCTAATTGCACTTCTGACTCTCTACCCAATGTCTGCTTTCCATGGTCGATCCCTTTGGAAAGTTAGTTTTTTTTTTTTTTTTTTAACCTGCAATTAAAGTGTTATTAAACTGAGGACCCTGCATTCACTATATCTGGTCTCCCATAGTACACAAAACATGGAAATGCAATTATTTTAGGAAATATAAACTGCTAAATACCTTTTCTCATCAGCAGTATATAGCAGTCTTGTGACTTCTATCAGTGTCCAGCTGAGCACAGGTTAAAGCTTGTAGGAGGAGTTTTCTTTCCTCTCACTGCCTTATGAGATTGCATAACCCCCGACCCTCTGTCTGAACAGTGCCGATTGGCCCTGTGTTGATCACATGCACCCTCCCAAGAAAAAGAAAAATAACTCTCTAGCAGTACACACCAAACTGAGCATATGCAGAGTGTCCCGGAAGCTGTGTTCTATCAGGAGATGAAATGGGGAACGTGAAAGAAATGGCGGATCAGAGAAATCGGAATCAAACAGCATTTTTACATAATGCAGAGGATTAACCCCTTAAGTTCCACAGTAAGTATAACAAGCATGCTTTATTGCACATACAGACTGATTTTACTGCTGTGGGTTTAGTAACACTTTAAAGGACAGATGAACACACCTGGACGCAAGCAGCTTTCATCCAAGAGTAATCATCTGTCCTAAACCGCAGGCACTTACTCCAGGTAAGATTACCTCTGAGCACCCACAGACAGCTGTGGCTTTGTATAAGCGAAGTGGCTGCCGCTATCCACATCCAGCTCTGAATTCAGCTACTGTGTGTCTGTGTGTGTGTGTGTGTCTGTGTGTGTGTGTGTGTGTGTGTGTCTGTGTGTGTGTCTGTGTGTGTGTGTCTGTGTGTGTGTGTGTGTCTGTGTGTGTGTGTCTGTGTGTGTGTCTGTGTGTGTCTGTGTGTGTGTGTCTGTGTGTGTGTGTGTCTGTGTGTGTGTGTGTGTCTGTGTGTGTGTGTGTCTGTGTGTGTGTGTGTCTGTGTGTGTGTGTGTGTCTGTGTGTGTCTGTGTGTGTGTGTGTGTGTGTGTGTGTTGTGGTGTGTGTGTGTGTGTGTGTGTTTTTGTGTTGTGTGTGTGTGTGTGTGTTGTGTGTGTGTTTGTGTGTGTGTGTTGTGTGTTGTTGTGTGTGTTGTGTGTGTGTTGTTGTGTGTGTTTTTTGTGTGTGTGTGTGTTGTGGGTCTGTGTTGTTGTGTGTTTGTGTTGTGTGTGTGTTGGGGTTGTGTGTGTGTGTGTTTTGTGTGTGTGTGTGTGGTGTTTGTTTGTTTGTGTGTGTGTTTGTGTGTGTGTTTTTGTGTGTTGTTTTGTGTTGTGTGTGTGTTTGTGTGTGTTTTTTGTTTTTGTGTGTGTGTGTGTTGTGTGTTGTTTGTGTGTTTGTTTTTGTGTTTGTTTTTTGTGTGTGTTTGTGTGTGTTTTTTGTTTTGTGTGTGTTGTGTTTTTTGGTGGTTGTGTGTTTTGTTTTGTGTGTTTGTGTTGGTGTTTTGTTGTGTGTTGTTGTGTGTGTGTTTGTTTTTGTTTGTTGTGTGTTTTTTGTGTTTTGTGGTGTGGGGGTGTGTGTCTTTTTTGTGTGTGTTGTGTGTGTGTGTGTGTGTTGTGTTTTTGTTTTGTTTGTTGTTTTTTTTGTGTGTTTTTTTTGTGTGTGTGTGTTTGTGTGTTGTGTTTGTGTGTTGTTTGTTGTGTTTTTTTTTGGTTTTGTTGTGTGTGTTTTTGTTTTTTGTGTTTTTGTGTGTGTGTCTGTTGTTTTTGTGTGTTTGTGTGTTTTTCTTTGTTTGTGTTGTGTGTGTGTTTTTTGTTGTTTTGGTGTGTGTGTTTGTTTTTTGTGTGTTTGTTGTGTGTTTGTGTGTTGTTTGTGTGTGTTGTTTGTGTTTTTTTGTGTGTGTTGTTTTTGTGTGTTTGTTGTGTGTTTTTGTGTGTTGTGTGTTTTTTTTGTGGTGTGTGTGTGTGTCTGTGTGTGTTTGTGTTTGTGTGTGTGTGTTTGTTTTGTGTGTTTTTGTGTCTGTTTGTGTGTTTGTTTTTTTTTTTGTGTGTGTGGTGTGTGTTGTGTCTGTGTGTGTGTTTGTTTGTGTGTGTGTGTGTTTGTGTGTTTTGTTGTCTTTTTTGTGTGTGTTTGTCTGTTTTGTGTGTCTGTGTGTGTGTTTGTGTGTGTGTTTGTGTGTGTGTGTTTGTTGTGTCTGTGTGTGTGTGTCTGTGTGTGTGTCTGTGTGTGTGTGTGTGTGTGTGTGTGTGTGTGTGTGTGTGTGTGTGTGTGTGTGTCAAAAAAAAAAGTGGTAGCTTGTTTTTCAATAGAAGAGATTTGGCTGTGCAGAATCTATAGATTTGTATAAGGAACAAATCAGTTTATATTAAATACACCCCTGGCCATAGTGCTGCAAATACCTAAAGTAGAACTACAGGCAACTTTTTTTTTTTTCATTTTGGTTAGAGCAGTGGTTCTTAACCTGGGTTCGATCGAACCCCAGGGGTTCGGTGAGTCAGTCTCGCGGGTTCAGCGGAGGTGAAGACCCACACCCGACTCATATGATTCGTGCAGTAAATATTCATTATTATGTTTTTTTTTTTTTGTGTGAAAATCATGTTTTAATGGTTTTGTTCTTTGTTCTTAACGGTTTTGTTCATTTTGTGCACCTATGTATAAATATATACCTATCTTTTGAATTTTAAAAATCATATTTTATTTTTCCAATTAGAAGGGTTCGGTGAATGCGCATATGAAACTGGTGGGGTTCAGTACCTCCAACAAGGTTAAGAACCACTGGGTTAGAGCAAGGGAGGGTTATAACCCCTGACAGATTATTTTCTGCAATCTGTGTCCCACTGGGAAGATTTCCCTTCACTTCCTGTCCAATAGCCAAAACAGGAAATCCCTGCAAATTAAGGGAATCCCCTAGTCACCAGAATTAATGACCCCGTTGGAAGATTTCCACTTTATTCCTTTTCTGGGGGCAAATCAAAATTTGGGATTTTCTTTTTCTCTCACTTTCAAACAATGGTAAACAGGACAAACAGAGCGGGCGACTCTTCCCAACAAGGACACAGAGCAATAAAACATGACAGGGCTTCTAATCGATCTGCATGCTGTCCAAAACAAAAAAAAAAAAAAAAAAAAAAAAAAAGAAGAGTTGCCTTTAGTTGTACTTTAAGCAAATAATCATATTACAGTACAGTTGACATCCTATCACCAACTGATTGTAGTTTTTTCTACTGACACGACTCGTTCTGTTTTTTGAACAGCATTCCCATTCTAAGAACATTAGAGATATTAAAGATCTAGAAAATGTGATGGTTGGCTGTGGGATCACCACCATCATTTTTAGCCTTTCCAGGTATAGCTTAGTGGTATCCATGTGTTATTATAATAAGAACATATTTCTAAACATGAGTCACAAATGTGACAATTCTCAAATGTTGAAAAATGCAAAAGGTCCCAATATAAAAACTACCCAAGTATGTACTAAATTTCATGAACAGTCAAAGCAAAAACAAGCTTTACCTTGAGCTTGTCATAGACAGAAAGATATACCGCTGAGAATTATGGGTAGTAAAATAATCTCCTTTCATCTGTACTGCTGGGACTTGCCATTCTGTTCTCATGCAAGCACAGGTAATACCTTTGGCCAGATCAATGATTACAATCAGTAAATAGATAATTCTAGCTTTTTTCTCCCAGTGGTTTCCCTAAATGATACAATCCTTGTCTTACGCAGGCCAGAGATGATTCAATTTACTTTTCTGCAACCACGGGTTACAAGAAAGAATAAATGCTCGATTCCCCCATCAACACGGTCCCTGTGGCAAGGCTATTGTGTTCTGCCTTCTCTGCGGGGCAAAACACAATGATTAAAGCTAGCGGCTATAGCCACCGACAGTAATCCCAAGCAAAAAATTTGACAGACTGGTTGTACTGTAGTTGATCTATGGATCAACTTCAGTACAATCAGCCTGCCCATAGATAAATCAAATCTTGGACGGTCCCTACTGAAAAAGCTGAGATTTGATCCATTTATAGCTAGCTTGCATCATGCCTTCATATCAAACTTGTGCTTGTGTTCTTGGGTATTTCATTGCCAACAAGAGCCAGTTTTACCATTTACTGACATTTCAGTACCATTTACTATTTCAACATTACATCACAAGTTCAGTTGAATATAACTAACTACTAGCTGTAGTTTGACCTTATTCATTGTAAACCTTCAAAGACATTTCAGTAGGCCTATGCCTATAGGCAGCTCAGGAAAATAGACAGCTTTTCTCTCTAGTGATTAGCTACACTTTTTTCTATGATGAGCAGAAATCAGTCACGTCATAAAAGGGTATTTGCATATAGAATATTCTCAGAATGATTGACCACTAAGTGTCATTCGTAAAAGAGGTGATTATAGCAGAGGGTTGTTACGTTGGCTCTCTACAGGCTCCAATGACAGAAATCTGGCCCTGAGGCAAGTCCTAAATATAGAATTAGTCTTTATCTGGTCCAGATTTTGTTATGCCCATAAAGTATGAATATTGAAGAACCAAAACGGTCATCATTTTCTTACAACATTTGCATCTCAATATGTACGCAGCCTGACCCCTGACTGCCGCTAAAGGCAAGCAAACTTAAGCTGGCCATTCACTGGTAGAGTTTCAAAAGAACATTCCTATGAAGATTCACATGAAAATTCTCAGTACATTCCATGGCTTGACAAAAGTTGTTCAAAGTTACATATTTTTGTTTGTGTATAACATTTGATTTGAGACCTTTCTGAACGAAAAAACCACATTCGCTTTTTAGAAATTCATTCCAGTGGTATAAAACACCCAAGCGACTGGCACAAATTTTTCCAGATGCAAACGCTAGGCGCTAGAGGGGTTGCCCCCCAAAAGGCACTTACTTCCATCTATGGTGGTGTTGCCCCAAGATCCAGCAATTCTGGAAAGACTTCTCACCATGGATCCAAAATAACTATATTTATAAGTTTTTATTAAGGCTCAAGGTTTTTTTTTTACCTTCATACATTCTATGCATGAAGGAAAAAACCTTCTCCTTGCAGCATGCCCCAAAATTCTCACCTAAGCCCCCTCTCGATTCAGCGATGGTCACTGAAGTCTCGGCTATCCCGGGACTCCCTCTGCTCCCAGGCTTAGACAGCAGCAGGAGCCATTGGCTCCCGCTGCTGTCAATCATAGCCAGTGAGCCAATGAGAAAAGAGAGGGAGTGGGGCTGAGCCACGGCTCTGTGAGTGAATGGACACACAGAGCAGCAGCTGGGGAGTGCACATGCTCGAGTTCCCCAATACCAAGCTGCTTGCTGTGGGGGCACCTGACAAGAGGGAAGAGCCAGGAGCGCCAACGGGGGACCTGAGAAGAGGAGGATCCGAGCTGCTCTGTTCAAAACCACTGCACAGAGCAGGTAAGTATAGACTTGTTTGTCATTTAAAATCATTCAAGTGGAGTGTTACACCTTTTCTTTTGAATGCTGGAAAGAATCTTATACCTACATTTTGAAAACAGAGCCACTGCCCTATCCTATGGGACTGGCAGAGGAAAGTGAACAAAATCATGGAAGCAGAGAGATCGGTCCAGATCATTAAAGATCAAGAGGAACAGTTTAGGGACATCTGGTTGGATGTACTATTCACTGGAAATTAAGAACATAAAGATCAGATCTATGGTAGGGTGCTTTTAAAAAAAAAAAAAAAGTTGTCAGACACATGTAGAATTCTTGATGGGGCAAGATCCCTGATGCACACACACCTATTATTGTCGCTTGATGCATTCCCTATTAACTCCCTGAATAATGAGAAGGTACTAGTAGACCACTGATTCACATGTATCCATTTGAGTTTATATTGTTGAAAAAAGTTATTCCCCCTTTTCCCTTCCCCGATCCCTTTCCTCTCTTCCACTTAGCTGTCTTCTATACTAAGCAGAACATCCTTTGTTCCTGTTGATCTTTAATTATGTCCAGGTCTGGAGTAATATAATGTTTAACGTACCAAAATGTGGATGTCTTACAAGTATTTCTAAGTCTCTACTTTCATTGGCCCTATGGCTATTGCACTTCCAACATGGTACATGTGGATGCTTAGTATAATGCATAGGAAAGCTAATAGCAATCCGGTCTGTATTCTACCTTATGACATTGCTACTGCCAACTACTGTATGCAACCCATGTTATTAATGAAGTTCCCTTTGGAATGAAGACAGACAATTTGTGTATGCATTTTGGTTTTCCCTACAAAAAAAAAAAAAAAAAAAAAAAAGTCTTAATAAACCTTGATTATTAAAAAAAAAAAAAAAAAAAAAAAAAAAAAAAAAGGGAAATTTATTCAAGACAAAATTTTTTTACCCTGTTCCTTCACATTTTCTCATCATTGCAGTCGAAATTAAATGTCAATTTGACCCGTAAAATGGTTAGGAAAGCAAAATGAAAATCCTTTGAATTAAAATCTTCATACAAAATGCAACTAGTTTTTCGCCAGCTAGATTTACACAACAGGTTATAAAGGATAGAATAAACTATGAACATACCCAGGTTTCTTTGCGGGTCTCTGAGATATTTTCAACAAAAATGACATGGGTTGCTGTGAGATATAATGTACCCAATGCTGGCCTTCTAGAAGATATCCGGTCAAGCAGACGGACGTTTTCAACCTTAAACAGAAAACAACATTCAGGGAAAGATATTAATACAGAGAATGCCATTTTACAGCCATATGCTATCACAGTGGTCTCCAAACTGCAGCCCAGGGGGCTGAATGCAGCCCTTTGCTTGCTTTTATCTGGCCCTTAGAGCACTACCTCATTCACTGACACCAGCAAAGGGGCACAATTCCTCCCAATGACACCAATGATTGATAGGGCACAGTTCCTCCCAATGACACAAATAATGGGGCCTAATAACACCAGCGATGGGGCACATACTGACCATTGACATCAGTGATAGGGTACAACTCCTCACTTGGTATCATTGGGAGGAATTGTGCCTTTCACTAGTTTCTAACAATGGTGCCCAATGACACCAATGTTGAGGCACAGTTCCTACCAATGTTGGGGCACAATTCCTACCAATGACACCAACAATAGGGCATTGTTTACTCCAACTGATGCTGGGACATTTTCTACTCCCGATGGCCACCGTCTGGCCCCCCTAAAGTCTGAAGGACAGTAAACTGGCCCTTTGTTTAGAAAGTTTGGAGCGATCATAAAAAGGTACCCAATAAACACACATGGGTTTGTCTAATAAACAGAAAAATGTTGGTGGTAAAATGAAACAATTCATAGGAACCAAAGCAATTCGAGTTTACTGCGGCCAGATTAGTGAAAGATCAATTCTATTTTGCAGAATTAGAACAAATTAAATTTGAAGGTATGCGGTCGTATCGGACTCCAAGCCTTCGGTAACAGATGCTTTAAAAAAGGTATTAAACCGAAAACCAAGACTATGATACACTGCAGCTTACCAATCATTAAATGTGGTAGCTGCATTAGTTTTCTTTAGTTTTTTTCTCCCCTCCATTTTCACCTGGTGATCTGGCAAGTAACAACTCCTGTATTACCGTGCCCCCACTCTGGATGAAGAAGCACAGGGGGAAAAGCAGACAGCAGTACTGTCAGTCTGGGGAGAAGGGAATATTAGATTTACTAGCAGATTTAAATACACTAACAAACTAAAGCCAAACTCCAGCTTACACTTTATAATCAGTTACAGCAAACAGGTTTTTCCATTAAAAATAAAAGTTTTACATGAGGAATAAAATCTGATCATTGTAAGCCCCCATCTGTCAGTGGTACATGATTTATATCATCCCTGTAAACTGACGCATCTGGAAGAGCGTTTGCTCTTTTGAAAAATAACAGACCTACTAGTCAGATCACCAGCTGAAAATGGAAGACAGAAAACCTGTAAAAGAAAACTAATGCAACCATCACGTCTCAGAACTGGTAAGCTATATTTAATACCAAACAGCTTTTGTAACCTATATTCATCTGTACTTATCTGGATATACAGGCTGGAGCTCGCTGTATCCTGTAAATGAAATTCCTTTTTGTTTTTTATGTATCTGAATATTATATCAAACATTAATAAAAATGACTTGATTTCAAAGAACTGATAAGCTACAGTAAATTGTTACTTTGGGGTTTAATACTGTTAAGTCCTGTAAGTTGCAAGGTGGGGCCTCCATGGATCAGACTTGTTTTTCCTGCACCTCCCACCTTCCTTAATTGGATTGCGATCTGGAGAATTTGGAGGCCAAGTCAACACCTCAAACTCATTGTTGTGCTCCTCAAACGATTTTTGAACAGTGGCAGGGATCATTATTCTACTGAAAGAGGTGGCAGCCATCAAGGAATATCGTTTCCATGAAGGGGTGTACTTGGTCAGCAACATTGTTTAGGTAGGTGATGTGTGTCAAGTACATCTACATGAATGTCAGTACCCAAGGTTTCCCAGCAGAACATTGCCCGAAGCATTACATTGCCTCTACCGGCTTGCCTTCTTCCCATCCTGGTGCCATCTCTTCCTCAGGTAAGCAATGCACATGTACCTGGCCATCCATATCATGTAAAAGGAAACCTGATTCATCAGATCAGGCCACCCTCTTCCAATGCTCTGTGGTCCAGTCCTGATGTCCACTGTAGGCACTTTTGGTTGTGGACATGGGTCAGTACACTGACTGGTTTTAAAGTAGAACTAAAGGCAAAACATTTTGGAAGTCAGTTAGAACACCTGTTCGGTTTTTAGTGCAGTATTTTCTCCTGTTAGGGAGATTCACCCTATTTGTCCTGTTTCCCATTCTCACTGAAAGTGAAAGTAAAAGAAAATTTAAAATTTTAGGTTGTCCCCAGAAAAGTAATAAAGGGGAAAGTTTCCAATGGGGACACTAGTTCTGGTGACTTGGGGGTCCCCATGGAATTCCCTTCATTTGCAGTAATTTCTTCTCACTTCCTGCTTTGACTAGGGGAAAGGAAGTGAAGGGTAATCTCCCCAATGGGACATAGATGGCAAAAAAATAAACTGACAGGGAGTTATAACCCTCCCTCCAAAATGAAAAAAAAAAAAAAAAAAAACCGTTTTGCCTATAGCTCTGCTTTAAAGGGTTAGTTCCCCTTTACCAAATAAAAAAAAACTGCCTATGCAGGTAAGGGTTGTCTGTAGAAAAACAAACAAACCATGCAGCTCTGACTAAAGATGTATATTGCTCTTGTTATAGGTGTAGGCCATTTACCTACCTCATGAAGCCTGACTGGGATACTCCAAGGATGTTGCTAACTGAGGCCAAGTCGTTACTTCTCACTTCCACCATCACAGGAGTGAGTTCTCTAAATCAAACCCCCTCACACGCTCTTTCCTCCCCTGAGGTAGTAGCTCCAAGCTTAGCATTTGAGAGCCCACTCCTGTGATGGTGGAGGTGAGCAGGAAGGACTAGTCCTCACTTAGCAACATCCTGGCAACATCCTGGGAGTATCCCAGGCAGGCTTTGTGAGGTATGTAAATGGCTTACACCTATAGCAAATTACATCTTTAGTCAGAGCTGCATGGTTTGGTTTTTTTATCAACAGACACCCCCTTACCTGCATAGGCAGTTTTTTTGGTAATTATTATTATACGAGATTTATATAACGCCAACAGTTTGCTCTTTCGCTTTACAATATAACGGGAGACAATACAGTAACAATACAGTTCAATACAAGAGGGATAGGAGGGCCCTGCTCCTTGGAGCTTACAATCTAGGAGGGAGGGGCTAGTGGTACAAGAGGTAGTAACTGTGGGGGATGGACTGGTAGGAAGAGTAGAAGATTCCATTATTAGCTGAGGGCAGGATAGGCTTCCCTGAAAAGATAGGTTTTCAGAGATCGCCTAAAAGTGAGCAGAGTAGGCGATCATCTGATAAATTGGGGTAGAGAGTTCCAGAGGATGGGGGAAGCTCTGGAGAAGGCAATGGGAAGCCAGTGAAGGGATTGGCAGAGAGGGATGGCAGATATGGAACGGTTAGTAAGGTGAATGAGTCTGGCAGCAGCATTCATGGAGACTGAAGAGGGGATAGCCTGTGATGAGGTAGGCCAATGAGGAGGGAGTTACAATAGTCAAGGCGAGAGATAACAAGGGAGTGAATAAGTTGCTTAGTAGTTTCCAAGGTTAAGAATGGGCGTATCTTGGAGATGTTACAGAGGTGAAGTCTACAGATTTGGACAGGGATTGGATTTGGGGCTGAAAGGACAAATGGGAGTCTAGGATTACACTTAGTACCCTGGCATGAGGGGAGGGACTGATGATTGTGTTATTGATCATGATGGAGAAGTCAGGGGAGGGGGCACGGGCTGGGGGGAATACTAAGAGCTCAGTTTTTGAAAGATTGAGTTTGAGGAAGTGGAGTGACCTCCATGCTGATATGTCACTTAGTAGGTTAGTAATGAGAGTGAAGACAGAAGGGGTGAGGTGAGGAGTAGAAAGATAGATTTGTGTGTCATCAGCATAGAGATGGTACTTAAAGCCATGGGAGTTTATCAAGTGACCAAGGGAGGAGGTGCAGATGGAGAAGAGTAGGGGCCCAAGTCCGGAACCTTGAGGGACCCCTACAGAAAAGGTGGTAAAGGTGAACTAACCCTTTAAACTATGCAGCCCCACCACACACACACACAAAAATTCTGATGCCCATTTTTTTCTGCTTTCAACCCATCAACTTCAGGGACAACATGATTACTTGCTGCCTAATATATCTCACCTACTTTCAGGTGCCAATGAAACAAGACAATCAATGTTATTCACTTTACCGGTCAATGGTCATAAAATGATGGCAGATCGGTGTATACAGTTTTATATCTACCTAGAACTTGGATTTAAATGAAACCATCACAGCTTGGGGGTTGTACATTCTATAAAGAGGAGTAGGTCAATCTAAGAAAATACTAGTTATGAAGGCAGAATGAAAATACATGTTCTGTTCTCTTCAGAAAATAGAGAAGATCAAGTGTAGTGCCTACTACAACGAATGAGGTTTGCCTTCTCTGGAAAGGATCGTTGGCCCATTAACTACCACTTATATGTAACCTCATTACAGCATCATCTCAGTCACATCATCTCCCTCTACTCTGCCCATCACTTCCCCAGACAATGAGGACATTATGAATCAGATAACAGGAAACGGCCAAAGGAGGAGAGGGAAAACAACATACCGTTCTACAGACAACCTCTGATTAATATCTCCATACTTGTGTACTGCTGTCCTAGTAAACAGTGTGTATATATATATATATATATATATATATATATATATATATATATATATATACACATATACCCACATCTGTGGCTTTTTTAAATTGCAATTAGTGTCAGTGTATAAATAGCAATTAGTGTCAGTGTATAAATA